ATTTTCTTGTTTTATTACTGCACAAAACGTCCCTAACAGCAACACTGCGCATAAACAAAAACGAATTCCTTCTCAACGCATTCCTGATCCACACCGGAGGGACCTTCCAGAAGAAAAAACTTCTTTCACAGCTCAGTTTAACTTTTCATTAAAATAAAATCACCATGAATGTGTCAGATGAGAAACATTTCAAGGCAGTCTGTGACAATGAAGTGTTTTTGAAAAAAATAAAAATAAAAAAATAAATTCAAAAAAAGAACAGAAAATCTTGCAACAAATGAATCAAATACAACATGACACATTACATTCCAACATTTGGTCTAATGTGGCTAAACGAGTAACACACCATCCCTAGAAGCTAAAATATGATATTGTGCATGTGGAGAGACGCTATGTGAGAGAGAGGTGCATCGTGGGTAGAGCAATTGGATCCAGTAAGTCGTCAGTTTGCCAGTACTTAGTTGAGGCGCTTGCGTGCTAACGAACCAACAACTCTACTAATTTAATTCAGATAAAAATACCACACGAGATTGAAAAACTCAAATCCCTTTTGTTTAATTAAAGTTCACGCGTGTACATGTCATTTTCTATGTCAAGGCAGAGGCAAACAAGAAATAGAAAAAAATTAAAAACACTATTCCTAATAAAATTAACAAGTGGAATTTCAGTGTGATATAAATGCAGCGGCAGAGAAATGTTGCTGTGAGGTCATTTGTCGTCTCCATCAGATGTTGAATATATTCTTTTTTTTATGTGTGGAGCCACAAAAATGTCAAATCAGATGATCCAAAGTGTGGTCTGTCCTGGGTAGGAACGTCCCTGATTTCAAATGAGTTATGATTATTGTGAGATTAAACACCTCGATTTAACAACCAAAGAACAGTAAAAACCTCAATGTTCTGGAATTTCCTTTCTCTAACATGTTACAACTCCTCTTCCAAGTTCATAAGCTGGTATAATTATGTTATCTATAAAATAAAATTGCATATATAATGTATGTATTTATAGAATAAACAAAACAAATATCCTTTTTCTCTCTAAATGAGAATCAAATGTGAATGAAATAACTTACAGGATCTGCCGGCAAAAAGAATAATAAAGCACTTTGAGAACAATAGATTCAGTGAAAAGTTGTTTTTTTATTCTCCTAAAATGAATAGTGTGTATGTGTACATTCATATAGGGACCTGAAAACTCTTGACTACTTCTAAATCCGGAGTCCTGGAAGGAGCTCTTTAAGATTCTCCCTCACACATGGAGACATTGGCAGTCCTGCCTGTACACTTATGTCGCATTTATTATTTTATCATTTTAAACTATGAACCAGTTTTCTGTGTGTTCTTCTTAATAAAGATTGAATTGATAAGGTGTTCAATAAAAAAAAAACGGTAGTTAAAAGGTTGGCTCACATTTCACTAGAGTTTTTTTTCCTTTTTCTTTTTTTTTACAGTTCATATTGAGGTTTTGAGGCTGCTGAGTTTTTGGGGACGTTGCCATGGAAACGGGGGACTCGGTCTACAACAGCAGTCCTGAGCATCAGGTGAGAAACTTTATGCTCTGCAATAAAAGCTAAAGCTATAACGGGCTTAAAGGGCATTTGGAACTTAATTACACAACTTATCAATGACTTTTAGATGTAGGCTTCCTCAGCTGGCAGCCACATCAAAGATTAGGCTGGTTCCATAGGGGATGATTGTGTCTAATTACTATTATACAGCAAAATACAGAAAAGGGAAGGGAGGGGAATTGGGGATAAACAGTGTCTGAGACAAAAAGGCCAAGCGGTTAACAAGCACCGTGACATTCTGGACGCAATCCACAAAGTGCCTCTTCGTTATATCGATGGATTTCTATTGCAATCCCAAAATGGCTGCCAAATATGTTCTACTGGGCTGGGAGGAAGTGCCAGGAAAAGGGCTCAAGAGCAAGTCTTGATTGTGCACCTCGAAAATAGTTGGTCAAGTATTGCTAAGTAGCTTTCAGTTGCATATTTACATAGTGTCTGCAAAGGGTTAGAACGTGTCACCGTGGAAAGATTGGATCCCAGGATTTGCACATGGTTTTTTACACCAAGAAATGATGCCAAAAATAGAAAAAAATAAATTAGACGATAAAATGTGAAAAAAAATGAAAAAAAAAATGTGGATGACAAAATATAAAATCCCCTGTAATACTAGAGAGGATTATATGAATTTGCTCTAAACCAATATCACATTTCTAGTATTCATTCCCAGTGCCTTCTACAACTACCACAACAACAAAAAAATCAGCTATACCCAGAACAGAGAAAAACAAAATCGCATTATAATATTTGAAAATTCGAACAGTGTGCTACCTAGTTAAAACGCAGTCTGGAAAAAACTGTGAATAATAAACTAGTGAAATGTGGCAATGCGGAGGCAACAGATATGTCCCTTATCATGTCTACTTGGGCAGCTTAAAAAAATATTTGGAAAAGTGACCTGCCATCTGTGTGTGGCGCTTACAGTACGAGATGATTGTGTTTTATCCTTTTTTTATGTCACTTCCACACAAAAAAGAGAAGAATTAATCATAAAAAAACAAGGGGATATTGTATGCACGTTGATCTGAGAAAACCAAGGTGGGAGAGATGTGTGAATTGGTCATCAAAACATTTGGACACATGTTACACTTTGGATGAGAATTGTGAATTTTCTAACAAACAACAATAAAAATTTGGGAAGTGTTGGCGAGGAGGACAGGCGGAGGGTGACAAGCACGTCTGATTGCTGGATATGGATTAATTGAACACCTTTCTGTCTAGAGCACCAGCCCCCCCACCACACACACACACCCTACCCCCCTTCACATCCCCCTACCCCTCCTCTTTATCTGCTGGCTCTCCTTCATATAATAATGACTTGCCCTATTCCGCAGACAAGCTCTTAAATATTCATTAGTCATGGGTGGGTTTTCAGGCTTGCATAAAAAGTGGAAAAATTGAGGTTAAACTCATCTAAAAATCATCGAAATAAATAATTTTAGTGTGGAAATGTTTTGGATAGTAATTGTATAGTTTTCAGGAGCGTTGTGTGGATTATCAAACAGGAGTGTGCCCAAAAATAGGTGTGAACTCCACGTGTTGCCTTAAAAAAATGGGTATCTTTCCACTTGTGATAATGTGACTTTACTCCCTCACACACAACCACTCTGCCAATCACTCCACGTTTTGAAATATCAACTCAAACCTGCTTTCAAACTACCGGAGGACAAAAACATAATAGTGAATATGCACCAATAACAGCATAAACCACCTGTCTACCATAGCTCTTCTACACACGACAAAAAAAATGTATTAAAGACAGAGGACAGTGCCGCCACACAGACAGATGAGGGGCCAGCAAAGTAGGGGCCACAGAACAGGGTGTTCTCAAATTACATTATGCACAATACACCATCATGATAAGATATGTACCGGTAAGTCAAAAACGGTGACAAGTGCCTTAACATAACATAAGCTCACCAAAAAGACACAAGAATATGAAAACACAATAAATCTGTAAAACCTCAAGAAGTGGTATTTTTTATGATGATTTTATATATAAAATTAGGACTATATTAGATAACATTCGTCAGGCCTTAATATAACATGCACGGAACATTGCGCATTCATCCATGGCACACAGAGATGCACAACACAAGTGGATCCTAAGTACACTCGGAGTCTACTGTAAGAGCACGGGGCTGTGCTCCAGACTGACTGACCTGTTCCCAGATCCACGGAAGGATGGTACGTGCAGAGTAGTCACCGGACGCACTGTTTACTGACGCTTTGGGACACATCTGTTGGCACACAGTCTGTGTCCCTCTCAGGCAAGCGCACGCACAGACACGGAGAACTACGTTGCTCAGGAGCACTGCACGGGCCCCTTCTCGAAAGGAACTGGATATTTTAACTTTATTTAACAAGCTCAGTGAAGCGCGCTACAAGACGCACAATTCTTAGTTTACCCCTGAATATCTGCAACAAAACGTTTGGAAAGAGCGCATCAGTAGGAAGTTTACATTCAGCAGTTGCTCAGGTGCCACCATTTGCCCCTACATCCCCAAAATTCAGCGAACCCAAAAAGAGTGCGTGAGGACGACGAAAGTAATCAATCATTTTAGTTAAAACACGGTACAGCGCGCAACGAGTCCCGCTGGATGGAGAGATTTATCTCCGTGAAACTAAAGCTGTGGTGTTGTTTTACAGCAGGACACAATGTGTGACAGGACAGCGGCTCGAAGCGTAGCCACATCTCATAAATGCCACGCCGTATTGATGTTAATTCATAAAAATGTGGGCTAGACATCTGTCTGCCTTTACGCGCGGAGGATCCAGTGTGAGTCGCATCTTATGCACATGTTTGCACTTTTGAGTTCAAACTAAACCGTTTTCACAAAAGCACGAGTGTCATTAAATTGTTTTAGAAAACACGGCGTTTCCTCATTATTCACAAACTGACCTAAAAGCCAAATGCGCACGTCGGGCTGCCACAGTTGTTCCGGGGGAACATCGCTCACAGCCCAGACACTTTGGCCACATTGTCCTTAAGTGTCCGCCGTGGATCACAAAGTGAAGGGTAGAGGGAGAAAGGGGCACACGGAGAATACTGACAGATGGGAGAAAATGCGTCATGTCAAGGCCAGCACTTCATTTTATTCTTGATTAGAAATAAAAAAAATGCACTGACAACCCCCAAATGTAGTAGCCCATATAGCTTACAGCGCGTCGGGCTGCTTTCGTTACGCACCGGCATCACAATTATTTTAGGCTAATGTGTGGCATGAAGTTTGAAATTTGTTAATTATTTTTGATTTAGAAAAGACAACTACAACTACTGTACATGGAAGTCATTTTAGCATTTGACCCTGAAGTCAGCCAACGAGCACGTTTGCGTCCCTGCCCCAGGAAAGCCCCCTTATTAAATATTGTTGCGATAAAAAAATCTCTACACCCATCCACTTTTCTAGATACTACTTTTAAATGTGTATCTTACCTGTACTTCTTCGAAGCTTTGAAAAAAGTGGGGACAGCGTTTCCAATGCTCCCTCCTGCGTGTTTCCTTCTGGTCAAACCGCACGTCTAGTTTGTCAATTTCAATACGCTCCTCTTACTTTTGTTTCATTTCTCACTTCCATCTTCTTTTCATCTCATCAATAAACACACGCTGCAGCCTACCTTCATAGAGCAGCTCGGTTTAAGTGTGCCCTCCCATTTTTTAACTATACATCGAGTACTTTGAGGGGTGGGGGGGGGGAGGATGAGGCACGGGGGGCAGAGAAGCAGGCAAAAAGGCAGGGAGGAAAGGCACGCCTTTTCACTTAAAGCTGCTATTGGAAGGAGCCCGTGCACTGTCTTGGCTTGAATAAGCACGCAGTCAGGCACTGATGTGTCCCAATCGTAGGGAGCTCAATGGGACGGTGAAAGCCACACTCTCCATCATGGCTCTAGTGGGAGTCCTGTGAGAGTAGTAGTAGTAGTAATTCTCCAACTCATCTCCCTGTGTGAGTAATAACACGTTCACAAATAAAACTCACTGTGTGCGAAGCAGCAGATTACCACGGCCAGTGAAGTCTGAGAGCGAGGTGTTCAACTCTGCTCTGTGCATTTTATGCATTTAGTTTCAAATACGGCATTCATAAAAGTGAATGAACTCACTGTAAGCACTGTCTGCTCAAAGCCACGCACTGAATTGTCTGTAATGTGTCAGTCAGCCACCTGAACTTCTGATTGGACACTGGTGCTGCCACTATCGCACGCGCCCGTCTCCTTGGCTTCCTATTGGCCACATTCACCGTCACTCACAGACCGGCAAACAACATGCTAGATTGTCTGCCATGTCTTCTACTTTCTACGCATTTCTATTTTCTCATTTATTTATTTTTTATCGTCCCGAGCTGACCTCGAGTTAGTGAGCGGGGGAAAGGATTGGTGTCGTTCAAGGCGGCCAATCAGATTGAGTAGAAGGTTAGCCTTTCTCATGTGTTGTTGCTTATTTTTTGGCCGTTATTATCCAACGCCTTGACATATATCCTGGCTTGCATAGGATGAAACCTAATGGGTCATGTGGGACCCCCGCACCTCCGCCTTGGTGCCCCCTCCCTGTCTAGACAGTGACAGGTGTGTGCTCGTCTGTAGTTGTGAATAATCAAAAAGGACTGTCCTACTATGCGTGACACGGTGTTCCGTGCTATACCAGGGCTTCTTACGGGGCTGTCCTGTCACTAAAGTGTCTTTTGTAGCCAAACAGACCAAGTCATGTGTGTGTGAGTGCGCACACTGCTCGGATGGCTTTATTGTGTACTCTTGAACTCCGCTTTCATACGAAGACATGAAACCGCTTCAGACATGATTCGCCATCTCTGATATGAGCTCCTCAGCGCTGTTTCGGACGGGTAGTGAGTGTGTTTGAGCGCTTGGCCGTGCGCGCCATCTGCAGGGCTGTGTTGTGGATTAGAGCCGCGGGTTCAACAGAGGACACCCTTCCGTCACTACTCTGACCTACATTAACCAGGAACACCACTGGCGGCCTTAAAGCACCCGGCCCAGGCCCGCTGTAGACTGCATGGGTTCAGGCACGGGCCCAGCTCCGTGCGTGGGGCGGGATGTATGGATACTGGGGGTGAATGCGTAGCTGAGGGCGCACGGGGCGGGTGCAACCAAAGCTTTGTGTTTGTGTTGGTGGCACGTAGGGCTCTTATATGTAACAAGAGCTGCATGAGCCGCGGCCTGCTCCTGCTGCCACCACGAATAGAACAAATACATCAAATAGGCCTGATTTATTTATGATTTCTTTAGAACTGTAGGCTTTAATATCTGCCTTCAGCGTTTGTCATGCAGCAGTAGTTTAACGTGGGTAAAACACATGGATGAAGCACTTTGTGGAAAACTGTTTTTTTTTTTTACATTTTATTTTTTGGAAATGTTAACTTGATTAAAAATAACTATGATGCATTAGTCATACATGTTAGTCAGTCTGAGGACCTACTGAAGTAAAACTCAAATGATAGATGGCTTAAACTTGTGATCACTTGCACTTCTTAAAGTCTTGGTAGTTGGTACAGACTCAGCACCACTCTCATTCTGTTGACTATTAACACTGTTTTTCATTGAATCCTAAAAGTGACTGCTTTGCCAATTGTCTCTTTTTTAACAGCCTGTGTTACTCAGGCGCTAAAGGAGGAACAATACGCCACAGAATAAAAAGTGTTCCTCTTTGAGGCTTTTGGGTAAAACGAAATTCCAAGTGTTGCCTTTCATCTGCTCCAGTTCTTTGCACATTTCTATTTAAATTATGTTCATTTCGTGCATTATTTTGTCCTTATTGTCTGCAATGTTGTTATTCAACACACAGAATTGTCATATTGCCCTATCAGTTGGTCACATACAAGTATTTTGAAAAAAATCCTCTTGGGGGTTAGAATAAAAATAATTGTATTCATATTATTTTCGACTACATATTTTTGTATTGCCAAGAACAAACAGCAAAAATGTGTGTAATTAATTGGACATGGCTACAATTATAAAGAAGTTTTTGGGCAATTATGTTCTGAGCTGTGTCAATGTGAAAGGTCAGCTGCCCACACTACTTCAGCTCAAACCAACAGATGGCAGCATTTTGAGTTGTATTCATTGAAGAGGTCAACTCTTTATCTGGTTTTGTGAATCCTCATCTGCGCGGCACAAAACTTCTGCAGATTATAGAGTGTGAATACCCTCACTATCACGGCCAATCCTTTCAAGCATAGAAAATATATGTTTACACAAAAAGATGGTTAATGTTTTTTCAGCACTCCATGTGAAAAGTAGCAACCCTGTGATAATTACAACATTTCCATACTCTTGTCCTTGATACAATTTTTTTTTAAAAACCAAACAAAAAAATTGTTATTCTAGTAATTTATTATAGCACGGGTTAACAGAATTTTTTAGTCCTTTGCCATGTTTGCACAAAGGTTGCAATACTAAATCATGGAACAATGAGACAATCCGGTGACCGGCCTACTCAGAGATTCAATATTTTTTTGTTGTATTCCTCCAAATAGATGAAGTTTGTAAGTTTGTGGTGCGCTACTGTACATGGCCCAGTTCCACTAGTCCTTGAGTCCTTGTCCTTCTTGGGCTGTTTGATTATTTTGTGCTAATAGTGAATGGCCCACGGCGCTTCATTCATTTTGTCGTCTAGACAACTCATTACAGTCTAGATGACAACTGACAATGCACAAAATGTGGAGGGGCAGCAGAAACGACTTTTCATTCAATTTGCAGTGCAATTATTTTGCTAGTTGTGCTCCGTTTTAGATGCACCTGCCACAAAGCTGCAGAAAAGGATTTCTATGTTAATTTTGTCTGTGTGTAAGAACTTGCAGGTTTGGACACAGAATCAAGAATTTAATTCTGCAGCAATCATAATTTATGAGGCAGGAGCAAATGTTTCTAATGACGTAACATAACTTGCTTATACTTTTAAAATGTGCTTTTTTATTAAATAATAAAAGAAAAGACCTGATAATAAGTAATGAGTAGCGTAATATAATTGCTTTACACACACAAAAAAATTAAATCAGACTGATAAAAAAATATATATATAGAAAAGATTTTGAAAAAGACAATATACAATAAATATTCTATTGTTTTTTTTTTTCAAAAAAATTTATAAAAATATCCTTTGCAGAAACAATTATTTATGGGTTGTACATTTTCCACTAAGGATTCAAATACTCAGATACTTTATCTGGCTCCATGTTTTCTGTGAGCGCATAGACACACACGTGCAGCAGACCTGACCTGAGCTGACTCCATGGCTCAGAGTGAGGTCACTGAGGTGACTGTCACTTACATAACACTGGCTCACGCTGGCAGGCTTTACCTTCAGCATGTGCAGCCTTGTATACAAAGGGTGTGTTTGAGGTTATATTCACACAGCAGAGCCATAGCCTGCCATCCCCTATGGAGTATAGTGTGCATGCAGGATTAAAGCCGGCTCTAACTTGATACTACAGACTAAATATGGAGCATCATTACTCTGATTCACAAGTGGATATGATTTCAGTGTACGTGCGTTCTAATGGTGACAACGTCAGCGCACCATATAAAATACCGGTACTGAGCACTGTGTACTATTTACAAGTGGTGATTGTGGAGGTTTTGGTCCAAATCAAATAAAAGTGTCTGTCCTAGTTTTGTGGAATATTTTAACATTTTGGATTTACAAGTAAATGTTCTGTGTTTGATGTAAAAAACAAACCTAAATGCAGCTAATTCAAAAGGTAAAGTGCTAACATTTTGTAATGCACAGCTTAAGTATGCAGCACTGACGGCTTCAAAACACACACATGACAAGTACAGACAGCTACATGACTTTAGCAGTTGTTTTTTCCCTTTTTGGTTTTTGTTCTTTGGTCTTAATTTGTCAATTGTTCGTCTTAAAATAACTTTTAGTCCCCTGTATCTGTATGTGAGTGACAACATTAATATTATGTTGTTTTGGAAGTCACTAAAAGTGATCAGAGCAACACAAGATGTGACAGAAGACAGCCGCCTTCTCTTTCTGCCACATTTCTCCCTTTTTCTTTTTGGGCATTGACTCCTTTTTGTCTCAGTATCACTTCTGCAAATATCCGCAACCTGCAAAAATGAACTTTTTTCTTAATTTTTTGTGAGGTTAGACAAAAACTTCAGTTCCTGTTTGCTACAGGATGTCATCTGTTCACAAATCACACAGTGGTGAAGATAAAAAGAATATTTGGGCAAGTTATTTCTAAGGATACACAAACTAGACAGGAGAGTGTGCAGCTTTTGATGTTTTGTGTGTTTAGAAGGCAATAGACGAGAGAGCTCACAACACCATCTAGTGGAGTAGATGGAACCTGCCCTCATCCTCTACAGACTTAGTTTAAATTCTGTACAATTCCTTTATTTCATTTATTCAAGGAGCATCATAAACTTTATGGACTAATTAGATTTCCTAACTTTAGTCTATAACACTGACACACCACACGTGCAACTGAAATAAATAATATCATTTAAGTAGCAAACAATTTTATGGAAGCTGTCTGGGCTCTAGCAAGTGCCTTTACTATATAACACAGTCACTTCTATTTTAGCTCTTTGTTACAAACGTGTGAGTGCATTACTGGCACCACTATGCAGTGTGCTATCTAGCATTAACTCCACACACCACGGAAGCGTATGCTCGCTCAGAGGTTAAGGAGAGAAAGAGGGAGGGTGCTGTAAACAGAGGGCAGCGAGTTGCCGTTGGCGACACAGAGCTGTTGCTTTCTCAGCTCTCCGGCGAAACGACTGCAACTCCACCGTTTTCAAAGCCGGCACCAGTACAAGTCTGTATACCAGTCAGGGAGTTGGCTCTGCCACACCAGAGCAGCTTAAGCAAGGACTACGATAACACATGCATTCTTAGCTATAGAGCTAAGGCTCATGGCAGACCGAGAATTACAATGTAATAATAATTTATACTTAACCTATACTAAGACTATACAGATACTATAATTATATGACGGTTTGTAAATGGCTCATTGTCACAATGCCATTTGCATGTGTTTAGATATGATCCATCCTTGAGTACTCTATGAAACTCTAGACTAAAGA